TTGCTTTTCTTCTGATTTGAGACCCCCGTGTGATAAGGTCCTAAGATATGCAATAATCTCCTGGGTAAGGCATGATTGGGTATTACCTAAGGACTCCTTCCCTGGAGAAGTATGATCTACCCCCTGTTTGCTTTCTAGCAGCACATACACATAAATTTATTTCAGAGGGCTCTGAGATTTATATTTTTCTAAGGCAGGCCTGTGCTTGTTATTTTTATTGCTGCGTCTGTTTTATTAATTTATAGTTTTTTAAACACTGTTCTCATTATTTGGTTGTATGATGCTGTGTTACTTTGGTATGAGATGCCAGAATATAAATATTTTAGGAAATAAAAATTTGGCACAGCATAGATTTCCCAAATTTGTATAACTTTAGTCTGCTCACAAAATACTTTATATTAGATTCGCTTTAATCTTCCCGCAAAAAGTTTTTATTGTATTTTTGGATGCAATTTTATTTAGGATGGGAGAAGAAGAGAAGCACAAGTAAAGGGAATTTGGTACGTAAAATAAAATAACAGTCTGGGCTCCAAGCAAGACTGGCCCAAGACATATTGCTGCCTAAAGAGAAGGTATTGCTCCATTCTATTCCATATACACAAGGAATGAAAGCTAAATTTTACTTCAAATCTTACTGCTTGTCAAATTAAGCCGTATTACCTCTTCCAGCTTCAATCCTGGATCCGGGATACCCCCAGATGTTATCAGACATATTGCTGCCGATTTAGCCATGATGTAGCTGGCCAAATCCATCCCAGGTTGAAATCTTGCTGATCCGGCCAATTTTTGAAGTAGGAAGCTCCCTGACTTCGAAAAAGTACCAGATGAGTGGTGGATTTGGCCGGCGGCATCGCGGCTAAATTGGCAACAATTTATGTCTGATAACATCCGTGGGTATCCCAGATCCAGGATTGAAGCCGGAAGAGGTAAGACAGCTTAAGTTGGTGAGCGATAAACTCCATCTCAGGCCATGAGATATGTTAGGGTCCTCCAGGTTAGGGGGCGGGATAGGTTGCAAGATAGAGTCAACGCTCCATATCCTTGGATTCTTTATCCACAGCTTGAAATTATTAAAAATAAATATATAAATTCCAAAAAGCAAACCTTGATTTTGCTATTTTATACAAGGGGCATTATTTTACTATGCCATTTTATTTAATGAGACTTGACCATCCATGGACTTTGTAATCCATGAGGTGTCCTGGGACCAAAACACAGCAGATACCAAGGGCCCACTGTACAGCTCAGTCTGTAAGAGAGGAGAAAGGCTTCAGGGTAAGAACGGTCAGCGCTGCCCTCCCCCATTTGCTGTCTGAGGTGGTCGCTTCTCTCAGCCTAATGTGTGTTGTATGCCTTCAAGTCATTTCCAACTTATGGGGACCCTAAGGTGAACCTTTCACAGGGCTTCCTTGGCAAGTTTCTTCAGATGAAGTTTGCCATTGCCTTCCCCTGAGGCTGAGAGCATGTGACTTGACTGAGATCACCCAGTGGGTTTCATGGCTAAACTGGGGATTGAACCCTATTCTCCAGAGTCATAGTCCAACACTCAAACCACTAGGCCACACTGTCTCTCCAGCCTAAAAGCAGTGGTACTCAAAATATTTACCCCTGGGGACCCCCCCCCCTTTACATCTGGATAGGGATATCACACACCTCCCCCACTCAAGACAGTATATGAATAAAAGTATTTTGTTTCTTTAGTGTGTATATTTTCATTTGCACATTCATGTATATTCATATTTTAATATTTTACAAGGACACAACATAATTCAAATTAGAACAGTTTTATTTAGTATTTAACTCAGTATTTTAACTCAGTATTTTAACTCAGTTTTATTCAGTATTTAACTCAATACATGTGTAAATTTTACACACAAAAATAAAGTTTGGGAAGAAGAGGAGGAGGAGGGATCAGGCCCTCCAAGTGTTGAGTCCCCCCTTGAGCAACTCTTGCTCCCTGTAGGAGATCCCTCCTCACTGTTTGAGAAACTCCAGTGTAATGGGACTTTATCACACGGGGGAAAATCAGCGGGAAAATCAGGAGTTTAAAGAGTCATTATTCCATGAAAGTTGTGCGATCGCAGGAAGATTTTCACACACACACGGATTTCCCCATTAATGATTTCTTGCTGGTTATTCCTTGGTTGTTCCTGGGATAAGCCCTCTTTAATTGCGATGTCGTGTGAAAATCTTTACTGCGATCGTGTGACTTTCATGGAATAATGACTATTTCAATTTTCCCCAATTTTCCCTGTGTGATAAAGTCCAATGTTAGAGGAGTTCTAGCTCCAGTTTAAAAGTGTGTTTATGAGTGTTTGCTTTCAAAGCACCTCTTGACTTATGGTGAATAGATCCTGAAAAGTCCGGCTCCTGCCATTTCAGCACGGCCTTGAAGCGGCTTCGGGCAAATTCATGGGTGTGCACCATGTAAACGCCACAGCCCTGAAGGGGCTGGAAGCTACTTTATTTGGCCCATTTGTTTCAGGTCATAATCTTCCTCTTTTCCAACTGCCCTCCACTTTAGCAAGCATCATAGTCTTGTCTAGTGAGTCCTTTCTTCTTATAATATGGCAAAAATATGACAACCTCTGTTTTTATTTTTTCTTTAAATTTAAATTTGAAAATAAAAATAAAATAAATATAAAATGAAAATATAAATAAATTAATAATAATAATAAATAAAAATAAAGCTAAATCTGTCTGTTGTGATATGTGGCTATCATGATATCTGGGGTCTGTTATGATGAATAATATAAATTAATTCAAAAAAACAAAATAAAATAAATATAAAATAAAAATATAAGTAAAATAAAATTAAAAATGAAATAAAACTAGAAGTAAAATAGAATAAAATAAAGTATAAAGAAATGTATTTTAATTTATTTTTATTTTTATTTTGTTTTGTTTTTATTTTCATTTTATTTTATGTTTTATTTTATTTTTGATTTTGATTTTATATTTATATTTATTTTATGTTATTTTTATTTTTAATTTAATTTAATTATTTTATTTATAAAATTATTTATAAAAACAAAAAATTAAAATTAAATATAAATTTAAATTTAAAATAAAATAAAATTTAAAATAAAAATAAAAATAAAGTAAAAGAAAAATGTAAAAGAAAATTAAAAATAAATTAAAATTAAATAAATATTAAATATTAAATATGAATCAAAAATAAAATAAAATAAAGGTAAAATAAAAATAAAAATATAATTTAAAATATAATAACATAAAAAAATAAAATAAAATAAATATAAAAATAAAATAAAAATATGTTAAAATAACATTAGAAATAAAAAAACATAAAAGACCAGAGGGGGTCAGGTACCTTTAGGGTATTTAGGCTGCTAGTCATAACTAAGGTCAGGAACAGACTGGCACGAAGGGGCAACTTGAAGTTGCCCCCGCCAAAGATGGATTCACACAATTGGGTTATTCTGCGCCTGTGCAGTAAGCTTCAAAACCTTCTGGAATCACCAGAGAAGACCTTTTGGTGGTAGCTCCATCCACCCTCTATATAAGCTCAGTGTCTTCCTGTCCTTTCTCAGTTCCAAGAGTTCTCCACATAGCAGCACAAAGAAAGGAAAAAATATGAGCAGGACACGAGTGTGGGGAGGATGGGCATGATTTGTGTGAATTTGCAGATGACCACTCGAAGAACTACATGGGCATGTCTTCTGTCACTACTCTGGCCTGAGGAGTGAGGTCAGAGATCGAAGCCAGGCATGTACTGGAGGGCAATCGATCCCGAAAGGACCTTTGTGGCACAGTCTGCTGAGTTTCTAGCAGATGTAATCTACTGTGCCCCAAGAGAATGGGGTTCAGCCTGGATCACTATCACCAGAGGCTTCTTATCGTCAGGAAGGTCATCTATGAGGGGAAGCATATGCTCCTAAAGGTGTTGTTGGTATGCCTCCATACAGGTGACATAGTTGGCGATACTGAGGTCAAGGATGGCGGCCACATAAAACTTACAAGCCAGTCCATCAACCTTCCTTCCTTCCTTCCTTGTCAGTTGGGGTCATAGAGGTTTTAGGTGTAAACGTCAACTGAGCCCCTTCCACAATTGCAGAATAACCAAGAGGAAGACAAGGGTGTAATTTGATAAAGATTCTCAATCTTCCTGGAGGTGGAGGGGATAGTTGCTGGAATAAGCCAGGATATCTGGGCAATCTTTTCCATTGAAGGCAGGAATGGAATAGATGCAGGAGTGGGCACCTTCCTGTGAACCCTTTGGTCAATGGGGGCCAGAGAATCTTGATCAGAATTGTGGACATCAATCTTTAAAGTATTGCCCATCCTCACTATTTGCTCAGCAAATGACTTTACATCATCCGCCAGCGAAGCTGCTTCATGTAACACCACGGCCTGGCAAGGCGAGGCCTGTCTGACTGAGCCTGAAGTTGGCGTAGAGGAGAGTGACAATACTGGAGATCCTTTGGAAGGTGTTTTCAGGAGAGCTTTATCTCTCAGATTGGCGCCGAATCAGAACTGGTGGTGGCGATTTTGAGGTAGAGCAGATGACCTGTGCTTGGACCAGGGGTAGGCAACCTTTCCCCTTTAAGGGCCGAGGGACTTCAGCTCCCAGAAGCCTCAGCCATGTTGGCCAATAGTCCCATGTTGGCCAATAGCTCCTGGGATTCTGGGAGCTGAAGTCCCTCGGCCCTTAAAGGGGAAAGGTTGCCTACCCCTGGCTTGGACGGTCAGAATCCTGGATGTAGAAACCGCCCGAGATCTGATGGATTGTGCTGGCAAGGGAGATCGATGGCTCTGGGTGATTTTTCAGCGAAGGCACTCTGGATTGACTGGCATATAATAAGTATGGGTCTCATTGTCATAGACCAAATCAGGATAGTGGTAAAGGAGTGAGTCCTTGTGAAACCGAGAGTTGGTAGTCTGGCATGTAGTGGTCTGGCACTCAGCATCGAGGGCAGAACAAGTATGTGTGTCAGCTTGGCACTCGGGCTCAAAAGTTGAAATAAAGTGTGCAGTGGACCACTGCTAGGTATTGAGGGCAACTCGAGCTCTCCTGGGAGTCTGTGACAGTCAGTCCTGAACTGGGAGGGTAGGTTGTTCTCACTCCAGGTTGGGGGTCAGGATTGGAATTTCCAGGTCCCGGATTTCCCCTTCAGATTTGGACCCCAAGTCCACTTGGACTATGTGAAGGGAGCAGGATGGAGACTCTCTGGGAGACCGAACAATGTTAGGAGAAGCCTGTTTAGAGTGGTCACCTTCAGTCACAACCTGAGCTTGGTCAGGATCAGCTCTGAGAGTTGCAGACACCACTTTTTTCTTTTTCTCAGGTTTGTTGACCCTTTCGGCCTTGTGAGGGGAAGAGGAATGTTGCTTCTTAGAAGTGGAGTGTTCCAAAGATTTTTCCCGCCTAGAAGGAGAGTGATCATCATGGTGTTTGTGTTTGAAGGATTGCTTGTCTGAACTGTGATTCTGATCAGGCTTATCAGCCTTAGAGGACTTCTCCTTATGTTCCTTGGAGGATTTCTCCTTTACTTTGGGAGAGGGGTCCTTCCCAAAAGATGTGGAGGCTTCTCCAAATTTGAGGGTGGAAGTTGGCTGCAGGGCTTGCTGGTATAAAGGTATAAAGCTGCCTTAAGCTGAGAATCCTGATTTTTTTCCAGGCCTGAGGTGTTAAGGACTTGCAGAGAGGACACAAAGACACATTGTGTCCCTCGCCCAAGCATAACTAACAAGTACTGTGCAGGTCTTGCCCGGGGATTTTACCTCCGCATTTATCACACTGCTTAAAGGAAACCAAGCGGGAGGCCATCAATCCGAAATTGAGGTTTTTCAAGCAAAGAGAAAGCCAAAGTCAAATAATCCGAGGTGACCGATTTATGCCAATCACTAATACAAGATCCGATAAGAATGGTCAAAAATAATCCAAAGTCTATTTCGCAGAACAGGTGGTTCCTTCTAAGGGCCTTTGCAGACTGCCAGAAATAATGCAGCTTGAGTCCACTTTAACTGCCCTGGCTCAGTGCTAGGGAATTGTGGGAACTGTAGTTTTTTTCTGAGACATTGAGCGCTCTCTGTTAGAGAACTCTGGTACCACAATAAACTACAGTTCCCATGATTCCCTAGCACCGAGTCAGGGCAGTTAAAGTGGACTCAAGCTGCATTATTTCTGGCGGTCTGCAAAGGCCCCAAGCTGCTAGTGTGGTGGATGAAAGGAACTGAGAATGGGTGGGAAGACGCCAAGCTTATATAGAGGGTGGGCAGAGGTACCACCAAAAAGTCTTCCCTGGTGATTCCAGAAATTTCCAAAGCTTACTGTACAGGCACAGAATAACCCATTTGTGTGAATTCGCAGATGACCATGAAGAAGATTATTTATATTACCTTTTGCTTTTTTCAGTCTTATTGTTGCAACAAAATTTGGTAGCAGAGGATCATTCATTTGAAACACTGGGTTTGAAAAGAAGACATAAAGTGATTTTGTGTTTGGAAAATTTTCTTAGTTGAACCTTTTTTTGTTTTGGTGAACATTTTTTGTTTTCCAGATAGGAGATCTGTAATATTTGTTTTTTGTTATGGATAGTGAACAGAGC